CATGTAAATCCCATATAAAAAACATATAAAACCCATATAAATCTTATTTTTTTCAGGTTTATAATCATTTCATTATCTTAACATTACATATTAAAGCACTATGTACAGTATTACATATAAAACTCAGAAGATGTGTGAGCTCACTGGTTGTTTTGGATAGTTATAATGGCTGTGTTTGTGTTGCAGGTATTGTGGCCCCTTGGTTCCTTTGGCCACCCCTGTCAAGGAAAAAATCCAAACTGGAACGCTTCTATAGAATGCACCATTTATACTAAACCACTGCGACTGACTTTGAATAATTCACTGACTGAATTATTTAGAATTATCTAAATATTCAGTAATAAAATGGATGCATTGTGTTGTAGACATCAAGACTCTTGGTTCTTATCACCACCGCTGTAAGAAAAATCCAAGCTGGTTAGTATTTCTACCACCATTTCACACCAAACCGCTCTGAATGACTTTAAGTGCATAACCTCTGAACACACAGTGGAATTTCCCTTCAACAGTATCTGAAACAGAATCTGAATCCCTAAGTGAACTACACTGCCTAACTAACCACATCTCAAGTGCAGGTTTTCAAAAACACTAGTAATTATTCAGTTATCATTACTCAAACATTTGTCTGAAGCTTTTGGCAAGGCTGTGTTGATTCAACAGAAGACCCTACCACCACTCACCCCACCCCACCCCTTTCTAGTGATCGCTGACCTGCTCTGAAATGTTTGCATTCCTGAGAAACGTGTGAGGCTGCCACTAGCGTGCACACATACCCATGTGGGTTCAGAGAGCGTTCTCCAAGCAAGCGCTCAGAGGCCTTGTATTGTGTGCCCCTGCAAATGGAGCCGAGTGAAAAGGCAGAGGTAAAGGTAGAGTGCGTGTGCTCAAAAGTAGGCCTTCACAGGTGCCTGAGTCAGCACGAGCGGATCTGGACTGTCAGACACAGATTAAACCTTGTGTTAGTCTGAAAAGGTCATTCAGTGCAGAGTTGCCACTCATAATTCAATCCCAAACTCAGCTTAAAAGGTGTCTGGAATGGCACCTCATTAAAAGTTGTACTGAACATTTAACTAAAAGAAGCAGATGCAGTTTCTTACGTGTGTCAGAAGCTTGCTGTGGATGCCAACAAGCGGTCGGTACTGGTGAAAGTCAGTCTGGATCACACACACTCTCTTCTCCATCCTCAGCACAGGCACACTCTCCCCATCCTGCTATCTCCTCCAGGCTCCCAGAGGAAATGAGGCTTCTGTTACCTGACCCTGAGTCATGCAGCACACAAACTCTCACACACACACACTCTCAGGGGGAGGGAACTCCAGCACCAAAAGAAAACATCTAAACTCTCTCTGACACTTTACTCCACCTCCCCACCCAGTCATCACCACCCACTGTAAGATGTGCACTGGCAAGAGGGCCACCTGAGCCCTGAGGGTTAACCCCCTAACTGCTGAATGGCCTCTCATTTGGAACTGCTCTTGGACATCATCTCCTACATATCTCACATTTTTTCTTTCATTTTATTATTCTCCCTGAGGTTCACCTATAACATTTCATTTATGTACCAAAACCAGCCATAATTCATTTATACATGATCATATTCCAACCTCTCTTTATCACAAAGGTGCACAGCTCCAGTCCTGGAGGGTTTGGTCATTTTCCCGCCTAAACACAGGCACTGAATAAACTAATCTGTTAAGTGCCAGGTTTAGTGGGTGTGTTTGAGTAGGGGAACCGGCAAACTGTGCTGGACAACAGCCCCCCCCTGCTTTATCCAGCAGAAATAAACAGGCTGTTTTTGTTACTGTGCCTTTAAGACTGATTTATGTGAATGAACTCTGTTCTGGCTGTCCTGCATTGCGCCTCATCCAAAAAGCAGTCCTTATAACACTGGGAATAAGTGAATGTACACTGAACAGGTGCATATGTGTAAATGTGTTGTTTTTTTGTGACATCACAAAATCAATTAAATCAAAACAGGCTGTTGTTGCAGTTTAGCTCTGATACAGACATTATGGACTGAGGAGCGAATGGTTTGCTTTGACAAACTTTAACAGTGCTTACATACTACAAAATTTGGTTTTACAAGATATGGGCCCTGTCTAATGTGCTGCAATGGAACATTTTTGTTTACCACCAGTTTTAATAGTAGCAATTTTCCAAAACACTGTTTGTTTGTCCCATAGAGAAATCTGCTTAGACACAGAGTATCTAATATGGGCATAATGCTAACTACAAAATGGCAACACGACTTCAGAGATCTACTGACGGTGATTATACACTCCTAAAAATAAGGATTTCTAAATGGGTGTTGGCTTGGATTTGACAGTTCTAGAAAAAAAACTTAGCACGTTTATTTTATGTGGAGGATCTTTAATATTTAAAAAGTTTCTTTTTAATATTTAAAAAGTTTCTAATTTACAAAAATTGTTCTTTAAAGATTCATCCATTGAAAGGTCCTTTAGGGAGCCAAAAGGTTTAATTGGGAATATTATCTGCATTAAACAAAAATTTTTACATGTGCAAATGTTATATAATGCATGTAAAATATATACTGAACATGATTTATAAGTTGTACAAGTTGTGGTGTAAAGGGGTCCTGTTTTGGAGCTGTGAGCAAATCTTATAAGTGCTGATGCTGGTTTCCCCTACTCATCCCCCACCTGTCCAAATCCCCCTCAGCTTATGAGATCTGACAAAATAGCTGCGGGAAAGTGTTAATCAAGCATGAAATTATATTTACCTTACACATGGAAAAAATGTCAGCAAGGATATTGAGCTTTTCATGAGCGCAATAGAGGCAGAAGTACTGGTGGCCTGACTATCCTTAAGAAAGGAAAGCATGACTTTCATGTGATATGACACAAAGCACTGTACAAGTCCAAGACAGCAGACTAAATGACATGTACATCTTCACTGATGATCAATCAAATGCAACAAGCTCGCACTGTATCCGTTCTGGGCTCCTGCCAGTGTTGCTGGGGCGGAGGCAGCCCTTTTTTGCCTGACGTCTGCTTTCCCGTCTTTGCTGTCGTGTGCTCTTGAGGTCAACTCAAAGCACCTGTGATACTGTAAATAATCCACATTTCAACTTTGATCGCACGCCCTGCTAAATCAATCTACAGCCGTCAGACAAAAGCATCTTGACAGAAACCAGATTCGCTTGCCCAGATTCTTTCATGCGTACACATCATCCCCCATGAAAGCTTTCAATAATACATTTCTCAGCTCAGAAGATGACAGCAGATCCTTGAAGATCACAAACAAAGTTTGGCAGAAGCTCAAACTCAGGTCAGGTGGCCATGTCTGACCTTGCCTTTTACAATTCAGATTAGCCTGATTAATTACAAACAACACTGACTGTTCAGGCCCACTTAATTTCTCGCATTTTCTTAGCCAACAAAGGGGCCTACAGACCAATAAGTTTGGGATTAGAAAGTAATGTTCCATTCCGCTTTTATTATAACTTTCTGAAGCGTGTGCCAAAGCAAGAGCTACTAGGATCGTGGGTAACTTCCACAACTGACAGGATTTTATGACTCTTTCACTCTAATCACTGAGCCACATAAATCAGACACTCAAAACAATAAGCAAAGCCAGAGCATCTGCCAAAATAGCAGTTAGGGGCTGATAGGAGCTTTATTGTGCATGGCCTTCAAGGTAGTACAGCTCATCAGGCAGAGATTGCTCCCTGGAAGCCAGCCATGGCAGACTGAATAGCACTTTTGTTTGGACAGCCACATTAAATGATAACCAGCATGTACGCCTCTCAAGCAGTGCCAGTGTGCTGGCTATTTGTGCGCACACAAACAGCTAACCTCTCTCATGCATTTCAGCTATGCACAGGTGCATGCAAATGTGCATGCAATCTTGTTTCAAGACCATTTAGATTTGTGCATTAATATTTTGCAAGCTTTAGTAATTCCTCTCAAATGTTACACCCCTCTGGTACTGGGCCTGTTTATAAGTTAGTGCTTGGATCATCTCTGTATTAACAGATGTCTTACAGAGTTGACTTATGACAAAACATGTCACCACTAGGCATTTCACTGCTTAAGCAAAAAGGCAGACAGATATAAAACAAACAGTCTGGTTTTGTGCTTTCTTCTGAACGAGTGCCATGTATTGATTACTTTTAGAGAAATACAATTGCCACCCATTTTTGATGAAGCACAATAGTAATAACAGGCTTTTACACTTTAATTGCTAGCATTTGACTCACTCCTAGTTGAATGTAATTATAGGACTACATACACGGTGCTCCTATAGAGAAGTCATCCATGCAAGTTCTGCCCAAGGTTATGTTTCCGTGTGTAACACATCTCAATGGAATCTGATTAATTAAAGGTCTGTGAAAGCACATATTTAGCATCTAACTTTATTGATGTTAATGATAACTTTGGCATGACGCCCTCTAAATGTCATCCCTCGTCACATGAGCTTGCATCTAGTATGCAGAAATGCAAAGCAAAAAACTTTCAGACTTTTTTAAAGGTGGCAGAATCAAGTCCTTTTTCAAGAACTTTTTCATAGAGCCAGTTCTACCAGAATGAATGTACAATGTATATGCACAACTGGGCCTAAAAGACTTCGGCCATTTTTTTAAGCTTTACAGGTACTACACATATATTTGGGGTGCACTGTACACTCACCCTGCAACTAAAATCACTTATACAAAGTCAAACTCAGGACACTAGAATATTCAAGTCACAACTGAATAAAAGGATGAGTAAAGGGCCGAGTATTAATTATATAATGGCTTTATAAATTGCTAGGTTGTCATCTTTGATTTGAAGCTTGGTTTCAGATGATTTAAGAAGTACTTCTAAGACATCCAGATTTACTCCCTCACCACTAATAATCTACATACATGAGCTTCATATATCACTGAACATTCGTTATTTCTTGTCAACATGATGCATGTTCCCTCAAGAATTTTCTCAAAACTCCAGTGCAAACCAGACACTGTTGTAAATCAACAGTAGCTTGTTGGCGGCACATTCTGTCTTCAGTGCTGAAGTTTATTTTAAGTGTAAATCAGGTTAGATGATTAAAAAGAACATTTGAACAAAAATGATGTCAAATAATGCAAAAATTCAGGCATAAACAAATTTCTTCCACTACACAAAACATGAAAATATTTTTATTTAAGCAGCCAAGGGTTCACCATGGAGAAACTCACAAATGACCCTGTTGTTGGGTTCCAAAACAAAATTCCAAAGTGCCCCCTAGTGGTAGCAGTCAGAATGTCACTTTGTGTGGAGATAAAAACTGAGCATTTTTTTCCCTCCACACACACATACATATATATATATATATATATATATATATATATACATATACATATATATATATTTAATCAAATTAACTATTAATCTCAAGTTTACTACATAAGTACAAAGTATTTAATATTTACATTGCACTTTTATATCACATATGGCTGTTTTTTTCCAACACGGGCTCTCAAAAGGGAGCCATAAGACAAAAGGGAGACAGAGAAAAGAGGTTAACGACTGTTAATTAATTTGGAAAAAGATTTTTGTGTGCTGTAAGCTCCGTGTTTAATAGGATCAATCTCACATGGTCGATGACTGAGCCAAATTCTCTGTGCCTTACGCTAATCCAGCACCATCGAGCCTGTGGTGTGTAGGCCACAGCAGGTGCTACTCTAATCTAATACAACCTTTAAGGACTGAGATTTACAGCTTTCCCCTCCTGACCTGCAATCTGCAGCCTGTATTCAGAACAGCATTCAGAAAACACACTGGTGATCTACTCCCCTCTGTATATAACTATGTTCTTATCCGTTTCATGCACCTTGATCTCGTAGAGCATATTAGGTGGAAGAAGCTTGACGATGCTGTCCCAAATATATACAGCAAGATTTTCAGTCGTGCTGCACATAGAAGAACAGAGAGGCTGTTAGGAAAACAATGTGCATGTATGGCAGGACAGAGATAACAGAATGGTACGATCCTATTCATACCTGACGACATTAGCAAAGTACGGCACGTCCAGGTCCAGGTTTTTGTGGTCAAGGGGTTTCATGATGGCCTCCTTAAAACAATTCAGTACAGATGGTCATTCCAAAAATTACATTATTTTGCATTCACATTTAAAAAATGAGTCAAAAGACAAAAAGGTAACTTTTAGACGAGCAACAATTATTTTTATTGATTTGTTTTATTTTATTTAATTTATTTTTACATATTAAACATAGAGGCAGATATTTTATTAGAGTGGACATATGCCAGGAGAAGGTCTTACCTCTATATACTGCTTAAGATCAGTTAGGTTCATCACCATTCCTGTGTCTTGGTCAATCTATGCAGACAGAATTCACAGCTGTGCATTCCATATAAGCTTACAACCATCTGTGCTTATAAAAAGTAGTACCTCCAACATATACAGATTTTTTTCACCTAAAGCTTACATTTTTAAGGCATGTCTGCTTTGACAAGTTGAAGTCTACCTACCTTCCCTCGTACTGTCACTTCAACTGAAAATACAAACAACATAGCCTGTTTAATCATAGGTCATATCGTGGGTATAAAGAATATACAGAATGATATATGATACATAAGAACAATGTTAATTGACTCACCTTTGTAGTTGTGGCCATGACCATTGGGGTTGTTACACTTTCCAAATATCCTCTTATTCTCTTCATCACTTAAGGATTTGCTAACAAAAACAGAGTGTTGCACAAGTTCAACAGATGTAAACCCATCCAGCATGTATTTTTTATATGTGAGATACCTTTAAAAAAAAATTCCAAAATGTTTCCAAACATTAAAGCACATTTAACATTTTTGGCCACGTTCACAGTTTTTCAAATGCATCTGATAAATACAGTTTACATATATTTATTTTTCGTATGGAAAGACTACTTAGCAAAGCATACGAACTACAATTCCCATGATGCATTTAAGCCGACGCGTTGAGCAACAGGTTTTCTCTTCCGCGTAAAGCGAGTCATATCACATCGACCACTGCTTAAAAATTATATTTAAAACGGCAACAACATTATAATTTTAAACATCCTTGCAAGCAGCCTTAGAAGAGTCGGACACTGCCTCCCACGATAACGTGCAAACGGCACGAAACAATCGTTTAGCATATGCTAACAAAAGAACTAAATAAGAGCAGCAGCTCGGCGAGACTGACTGCTTCAAGTCACTGAGAGGTGCTGTAATTGTGCGAACAGTGAAAGTAGGTGTGAGAACTGCTCAGTGTGGCCGAGGAGGGTGAGTTAATGATCTACCTGTGGAGTCGATGACAGGCGCTGAAGCTTTCCACTCGAGTGATGTAGCCCACGCGCTCTGCTGACCGCGCAGTGTTATTTTTCTCCATTACAGCTCCGAAACGCCCAAACTGCTGAAAGCGCTGCTGCTCTGAGTGATTATACAGCGCGAAACGCTCCCGGAATGAAGCGCAGTTTAAGATGAATGTGAGGTGCTCCTAGGTTTCGCTCTGCAGCGCTGCTTTGATTGGTCCGTTACGGGGGTTGTGTGTCTGTGTGTTGGGAGGGGGGGAGGGGGTGGGGGGCATGAATAAACACTTTTAATCGATTCCAACCGAGCAAAATGTTCATCACGCGCCTCCAAAAGAAACTCTCTCTCTCTCTCTCTCTCTCTCTCTCTCTCTCTCTCTCTCTCTCTCTCTGGAAATGAACAAACGGCAAAGTAAAACATTTTTTTGTAAGATTTTTTGTAAATTCTATATATAGACAGAAGTATTGAAACACCTACACGTTACACCTACAAGAGCTTTTATGACATCCCACTCCAGGCATTGATATATTAATTTGGAGTTGGTCTTTCCTTTGCAGCTATAACAGCTTCCGCTCTTCCGGGGAGCTTTCTGTGTGAATTTTTGCCCGTTCATCCAGAAGAAGACCATATGTGGGGTCAGACACTGATGTTGGATGGGGGGGCCTGGCTGGCAATCTCTGTTCTAGTTCATTCCAAAGGTGTTCGATGGACTGAGGTCAGTGCAGGCCAGTCAAGTTCTTACACACCAAACTCACCCAGCCATGCATTAACGGACCTTGCTTTGTGCACTGGGGCTCAGTCATGCTGGAACAGAACAGGTCTTCCTCAAACTGTTCCCACAAAGTTGGAAGCATACATTTGTCCAAAACGTCCTGTTATGCTGAAGCATTAAGATTTCCCTTCACTGGAACTAAGAGTCCTAGGCCAACCCCTGAAAAACAACCCCATAGCATTATCCCTCCTCCACCAAACTTTACAGTTGGCACAATGCAGTCAGGCAGGTAATGTTCTCCTGGCATTCGCCAAACCCAGACTCATCCATCAGACTGCCAGATAGAGTGTCAGATAGAGAAGCGTGAAGCTCCCAGCGCACAGTTTATGTGCTGATGTTAATGTTAAAGGAGGTTTGGAGTTGCAGAGCATTGGCAACTTTTATGCACTAGGTTAGCTAGTTGTGACTTGTGATAGCATCCTGTTTAATGTTGGTAAAGGAGAGCTGTGTGAATCTTATGGCAGTGAGCAATGTCATCTGTGCACATCATGCTGCTTCCTAAGCATTTTGTATAATAATAAAGCTATTACATGCTGGCAGATTCCTTTTATCTGTGGCTTAATTATCTGTGTTCTCTAAATGAATTTGGATTGTGAATATAGTCTCTTAACGTGAATTCTGTGCACCTTAATTTATGACCCTTTTTCGTTGAAGCAGACAAAATTTAGCTCTTTTTCAAGAAAAGTGTCAACAATATAAGCTAGTGTAGAAGCAAGTGAATAAGCAACTGTTTTTTGTATTTTCAACCATAACAGCATAAATAATTGACATGAATATCTCTAAATTAATATACAATATTTACCCTAATATAAAGTGGGAGATTACTGAGGTACAAAATCTGATTTAGTGAAGTTTTAAAATAATAGCCTCAAATTCAAAATGCAGAAGATTGTGTCATCAGTTTCTTTTCCTTTGTCTGGGGAAGAACCCCCATGCCCACTTACTCTAATTGTGTCCAGACTGTTATGGCATTACAGCAAACCAGTTATTCATAATAAACATCATGATCTCAAGTATTAACAGTCATTCTATATATGGATATCGAATGATTTTAGTTATATTGATATTAGTTGTTTAGTCTTAGGAACTATAACATTCATTAAACTCCATAGTTGAATATAGCATCTTTTATCTTATATGTAGTGTACAATGAGGATCTGACACCATCTGGTAATTTAATCAGGTTGTATTAATAAGATCAAGAGGTCCCCTGCTGTTAGCTAAGCCTGTCTTTCATGCCTAGCTCCTTATGTAGATAGCTTCCAAGAGAGTATCCAATAGAGCCTCTCCAACAAATCAGAATACAGTCCAAAACCCTGTGATCATCCCTTGTAATCTAAAGCAATACCATTTGGGTTTAAATAGCAGGCCTGATCATGCTGGCCTGTTGGCTCAAGCTGACAAGCACCTTTAAGTTGCTCCTCTCTAAGAAAGCTCCTCTCAAGATGGGCAACAGTAAAAGCGTTGCGCTCTCCAAAGACCTGCTAGAAGAGCTGAAGTCCAATACTAGGTACACAGAAGAGCAGCTTTATGCCTGGTACCAGACCTTTATGAAAGAGTGCCCCAGTGGCCAGATCAGCACAGAGCAATTTGAGAGCATCTACGCCAGCTTCTTTCCCGACGCTGACCCAAAAGCCTACGCCCAGCACGTGTTCCGAAGCTTCGACTCAAACAGTGATGGCACTCTCGATTTTAAAGAGTACATTGTGGCTTTGCATCTCACTTCCTCTGGGAAGACCACCCAGAAGCTGGAGTGGGCCTTTGCATTGTATGACCTGGACAAGAATGGGACCATCACAAAAAATGAGATCCATGAAATTGTCAAGGTAATTTATTTTTTTATTTTTTGCCTATATTGTTGTCATTTCTGTAGATGTGTTGTGAAATGCATTGTGGAAAGGCATAATGTGTATTGGCATACAGTTCAGGAGTTCTGATTATGCTGTTTTATTTCATTAAACTAACACCCATTTCATTTTTCAGTCAATATTTAACATGATCTCGAAAGAGGACCAGAAAAACCTCCCAGACGATGAGAACACGCCTGAAAAAAGAACTGAAAAAATCTGGGCCTTTTTTGGAAAAAAAGAAAATGGTAGGATGACACTTTTACAGTTTGTTTAAAGGAGGAATTATGTATATATATAAACAAACAGAGCATTTAACTGACATGTTCACTAGAACTGGGTAAACACAATGTTTGGGAACAGGGGATTATGTAATGATAATATAACTACTACTGAAGTCTTTAGCAAGGCAGTAGCCCTGAAATTCTACTCCATTTTTCCTCACAGATAAAATAACAGAAGGAGAGTTCATCCAGGGAGTGATGGACAATAAGAACATTCTCAGATTGATCCAGTTTGATGAGCCTCAGAAGGTCCAAAACAGGCTGAAGGAAAAGAAACAGTAGCATTTCCCAGTGGTGACTTGTATGCCTTCACTTTTTCATTTGGAAACTTTTTTTTTTTTAATTTTCATAAAAGTTAAAATGTTTTTGATCTTTTGATTGTTTCTTTACTTTTTATTTCTGTTCATACCAATAATTTATGCACAAAGTATACAAAACAAGACTTTGGCTACATTGAGCGTACACTGGAATATATGAAATATTATGTTTGCTCTCCAAATTGTTTTCAGACTTCATATAACAACATTTATAAGACAAAGCACAATGTTTAAAAATGCTAGATGGGTACATTAAGGGTTGAACCCAATTTGTATTAATTATGCTATAGAAAGATCTTTATAAGTGGCTCAATTATGAGAGACTTAAGGTACTGTACATCTACAATATAACGTCTACAATACAAATAGTCCATTATGAGTAAAAACTCTTTACACATGAAATTCACAGTTTCTACTTACAACCATTCCCTCCACTAGTATGCTGGTCTTTTGTTTGGCTTTACTTTACTGTACAATTCTGTTTGAATCCCATTAGAGGTGCATGTCCTTTGTTTTGTAACAGGGAATAAATAAAATTTGTTTTTGATTGAAAACTACAAAGAATGTTGGAATCATTATCTATTTCACATTTTCCTCAAAATATAATTTGGTCATTTCTGAATATACTGGCCTTTTTGCAAAATGTTCAAATGAAATCAAGAAAATAGTTTCATACATACTTTTCACCATCAGTTGATGCTGACTTGTCCTTCTAAACATATACATATTGTAGACGAGACAAGCATCAAAAAACCTACACATTTTTACTGGCAAAAAGAAATCTACATCTTAAGGTACAAAATGTTTGTATCTCAGGGCAGATCCGAAAGTCTGCCCTGTGCAGTCTGTGAAAGAGCCAGAGGCAAAAAGAGGATGTTAAAATTCACTCTCCTCCAGAATCTCCTCCATTGTCTCACCCAAAGTCATCTCTCCATCAGAGCTGGACAGGCTCTTCCTGGTGTAGAACTCCAGGCCTGTGCACCGGGCACAGGACACCTCCTCTACTGCTGACTGGACAGTCACCTGGGTCAGCTGAGCCTGATCACGTGTGGGCACGTGACTGCCCTCCTCATACGAATCACTGTGGTCTGTGGGGTGCCTTGGTGCCTTCCGTGACTTCTTCCATAAGTGTTTGGGGTGTATGCGGGTGAAGCAGTTGTGAACCTCAAAGTGGTTTGCAAAGAGGTAAACCTGCCACCTGTTCTTCAGCTCAGCTTGGACCTGGAAAAACAAATCATCCAAAAACCCTGTTACTAAGGACCGGATTCATATCAAAACAACTCATGTTACCCACACTTAAGGGTTCTTTAGTAAAGTTTAGTGTAGTTTAGTATAGTTCTATATAGAACCATGAACACTTAACAAACCCTTTGCATGATTAAAGGGTTCTTTGCATCATGAATGCATTCTTCCCTTTTTGAAAAGGGTTCTATATAGCAAAGGGTTTCTACTGTTACAAGCCTGACATGATAACAATAGAAGAACCCTTTTCCAAAAAGGAATACATACACTGGGGAATACATATAAGATGAAATGCAGGCCAAATTCCCTCAGTCATCCATCGTTATGAGAAAGACCAGAGAAAACAGAAATGATGTGCGACCAAAGGTTATTGAGCTGCACAATTCAGGAAATGGCTATAAAGAGTTGTAAATGTCTATTTCCACTACCAGGGCAATAATTAAGAAGTTTCAAACAACTGGAGATGTTAAGAATCTGCCAGGAAGAGGATGTATGTCTATACTGACCCCACGCACAGTTAGGAGGATAGTACGAGTAGACAAAGTATCTCCAAGGACCACAGATTGGGAATTGCAGAACATCCCCCAAACCACAATCAAACATCACCTATATTACCACAAGTTGTTTGTGGAGAGTTGCCAGAAGAAAGCCTCTACTGTCATGAACCAACAAATTTAAGCTCCTACAGTTTGCCAAACATTACTGGAACTTTCAGTGGGATGGTGTTTTATAGTCCAGATAAATGATAGATGAGACCAAAATAGAGGTTTTTGGCAACAAACACCAGAGGTGAGTTTAGCATGGACTCAAAAGTAGTCATGCAGAAAAGTACCTCATCCCAACTGTGAAGTATCTGTGATGTTGCTGGATAATTCATTCAGACACATGGTATCACAGACTCCAGCAGAAATAAAATCAGCAATAAAATCCTACCTCAGCCAGGAAGCTAAAAGTGGGCCTTAGTTTGGATCTTCCAGCAGGACAATGATCCAAAGCACACCTCAAAATCAATGCAAAAATGGTTCATTGACCACAGAACCAAGGTTTTACCATGGTCCTCTCAGTCCCCTGACCTAAACTCCATAGAAAACCACTTGGGATAAGCTGAAGAGGACAGTCCCCAGTGTGGACCTTGGAATCTGAAGGATCTTGAGAGGTTCTGTATGAATGGTCTCAGATCATTTGCCATGTGTTCTCCAGCCTCATTAAGGTCAGAGCTGTTATCTTTGCAAAGGGAGGCTGCACAAAGTATTAAATTAAGGGGTGCCAACAATTGTGGCACACACAGATATGAGAAAAATATTTCCTGATAAGATTTAGGTTTTTCCTTCAATCATTGTACTTTAAATAAAGGTTAGATTTTTGTTAATATTTCAAATGAAAGATCAAAATGATAAGTAATAAGGAATGTTTTTACAGCCTGTTTTGCCCATGTTTACTAGGGTTGCAAATATATGTGTAGGGCACTGTATATATATAGAGAGAGAGTTATAGAATAACTGAAGTTCGGAGAAAGACCGTGCCTTAAACTCCTCGTTCTCACTTCCTACATCCTACAAATACCCTTACTTCTCTTCTCCATCTTGTAATGAAATTTCGCACCCCACCACCTCCCTTTCTCCTCCTTTATCTCTATGCCTGCACTCAATCTCCAATGAACGGTGCAGCCTTCCAGCAACCTGCAGAGGCAACTCCAGCCGAGTTCCCTTTCTCTCATCATTTCCCTACTCAAGGCAAGGTCCGCAGTCACAAAATATACATTATAAAAATAGCTGTTATTTCTGATTATAGCAGTTCTTTTCAGTAATTTCAATGCAGCTCAACCCCCTGATTATGATTATAATGGACTGTTCCATGTATGTGATGACAGCTGCATGAGGATAGAATGGTATGAAGTACGCACTATCTACATTTTAGAGAGGAGGTCCTTTAGTGTGATTTTCTGGGTGTTAAGAGAGAGAAAATCAAATAAAAGTTATCCGAGTGCAGCAGAGAACATAGTGTGATTAGTTATAATGTAAGTGCTCTTGTAAGTCAAAGTAGCAAAGAGGAAAAGCAAGTTTTTTGCTACACTCTCAAAGTTTGTTTTTTTCAGGCAGTACTGCAGAGGCTCAGCAGACCATAAATAATGCTAGCATTAATGTTAGTATAGATAGCTCCAGTGTTGAAGAAATCGCTCAAAAAAGTAATTAGTTACAAGTTCTTGGAAACCGTCCTGGGATTACATTACTAATTACTCCTGGAAAACAAAAGAAATTAAAAATGTCGCTTCTTTTTTGAGAGTGGTCCACCACCCAGTAATATCTGGTCCTGTGGTCAGATACTGAAGGGCTGGAGGGTTGCTAAATTGTGCATCAAGAGGCAACAACCTACAGTCTCAAACTGTACACCAGCAAAGTGGAGAAACAAGATAGATGTTTCTAATAAAGTGACTGGCTGAGTGTATAACGTTTAAAAAAAAAGTAAAGTTGTCCCATTTCTAGCAATTTGTGTTTGCTAAAGCAGCACATACGCTAACATAAGTTCCAATGACTTACCTCTCCATTGGCAAAGCAATACAGGACAGCAACCAGAAAGCCCTGATATAACAAAACACTATAATTAGGCTGATTACATTCACAAAGACAGACAGCTGTTTTTCAAAGAGATAACAATCAGATAACAATCAGAGTTAAATATTACCTGGAAGGAGCTCAGGGTTAGATTGATGAAGTTTCGCACATAGCGGTGTTTCCCTTGAATGGTTTCATCTATGATTATTGTGAACACAATCTCATGGATCCCAAGCAGTGGGATCAGCACCAGTGTAGCTCTGGCTAAACTGCATGACAGGAGAACAAAGAATTTCTATGAAATTTGAAATCATCAATGAGCCAAGCCATAGCAACTAATGCCTGTAATGCCATACCTGTATCTGTAATCTGTAAACTTAACTTGGTCAGCTTTTAACTTCGACAGCAGAAGTTTTATGATTTTGAGAAATATACAGAAAATAACCTGAAAAACGAAGAAGAAGTTGAGGACCATCCGTATGACCTTATGTATTGTCCTATTTACATCTAACTTCAATGTACTGTGCAATCACGGGTCAGAGCCAGTGCTGGACACTGATGAAGAACTTCTCAGAATTTGGGCCATGACCCATGACCGCATATATATGGGTTCCTCTTGTTACAGTTTGTAACTAGCATGAAACGCATGATGGCATGTGGCAAAGCAGCACAGGGTTTCTAAGACTGCCATGAAATCCTCATCATACTGTAACAAACTTCATGTTGTGACTTTGCTTTGTGACTGATCTCGCCACACAATACTACAAACCTGAACTCCAAAAAAGGTTGGACAAGTATGAGGAACGAGTAGTGACTTCTAAATCCACTTTGACTGTATTTATTTAAACAAAACCAGTACAAAGACAAGCTACTGAATGTTCTTCCTCCTCAACTACATTGTTTTTTGTAAATATGCACTCATTCTGAGATTGATGTCTGGAACACATTCCAATTTAAGACCAGGAAGGTTGTAAAATGTTCAAAAAAGCATCCAGCATAGGTCTAGTCCTTTATAAGCAACAATGGGTCGAGGCTCAGCATTTTGCTAAAAAAATGCATCAGTGAATAATGCAGTTTAAGAACAAAGGGCCTCATTCACCAATATCTTCCTAAGGTTTTTCTTTAATTTGTCCTTGTGTAAAGGGCAAGGCCAAAAACCACAACTGAATGCACAAGACCTTTGATCCCTCAGACAGCACTGATGGATATCACCACATGAGTCAGGGAATACTTTGACAAACCTTTGTCAATAAACACCTTTTTTAAGACTGTACCATGCACAGTGGGAACCATGTGTCAGCAATGTCCAGAAACACTGCTGACTTCTCTGGGCTATGAAATGTACTGACACGTGGTCTGACCGGTCACATTCTGCAGGTGGTACAACAACATCGCTGTATACTCAGAAAGCGCTGTTAGACTGGCCTGTCTGCAGTCCAGTCTCCCACTGAAAATGCAGTATGAGGCACAAAATACATCAATGAAAGCCCCGTACAGTTGCACAGCTGAAGACCGATTGGAAAAAATTCTGCTTTCAAAATTTAATCAAATGGTGTCTTCAGTCCATCTAAATGATTAAAAAGTATTGTTGAAAGAAAAGGTGATGTAACACAATGGGAAACATGCTTTTGTCCCAACTTTTATAGAATGTGTTGCAAGCATCACATTTAGAATTTAGAGTGTATATTTACAGGTTTTTGGACTGTATTAAATTTAATATAGGTCAAACAGCATTTACTTTCTGTTTTACTTGCATTGCACATAGTTTTTTGGAATTGAGGTTGGCAGAATTATCATAGATTGAACCTCTAAGCACATTTTTGGAATGACCATTATGGAATTGCTAACTTACATTACTGCAATGACAATGACCTTCTGCTGTATAATGTGCAATGTAACACTCACCAGGACTGACAGTGTAATTGGAGCCCTAATAATCCACCAAATCCACCTGTTGATAATGAACCAGCAGCTTTGGAAAAAAGAAACCAAACTGTCAATACTTAAAAATAAAATATACCAATTTATATTAATTTATATGAATGTATATAAAGAATAAACCCTTAGTACACCATTCAAAGTAAGGTTATGTTCTACATCCTGTATGATTTCTTGTAAACAGGATATTTTGTATTATTCGCAAAAAATAATGGAGAAAACAGTAATGCTTACTTATATTACCTGTAAATAAGCTTACCCTTTATTTTCATATAGTATTTTAACCACTGTCCAAGGGGCCACAAATAAAACCGGTGTTCCTAAAGGAAAATAAAGAAAACATCATTAATGAATAGAATACATAAGATAAAAAAGAAAAATTGCATACATTAAAATATTTAAAAAATAAAAATATATTTATAGACAAAATAAATGAATTGTGCATCATAATGATAGCCATTTGCTGTGTGCTATTTGTATGGATCAAAAATAGGCCTACCCCATCCTACCAGCATGTATCTCTTCAGTAGGCTCCGCTTGGTCAACACTGCAGTGAAGAGCAGCGTGTGGAGAAATATTGCCTCCACCAGGAGCCAGAAGTAATTGCACCCCACAAAATATTGCATGGACACCTTGGAGGCTTTGCAGACCAAAGATATCTGGGAGGATGATAATTTTTATTAATGACTTTTATCACTGAGAGTGTATGAACATTTGGCTCTTCTATGTATGGTTATTAATTATATTAACTAAACATGTACATGTCTTCATAGAATGTGGTGTTCTGCACACTAAGTATATGCTTAATTCCCTGTAAATTGGTCTCAATTAGCAATACTAATAACAACAGGAAACGTATAAATTATGCAGTACTGTTGAATCCACGTAGCTGTTCCATCCATTTTCATCCTTGGGCACGTTGGAGTACATGATGTAGAATACAATTTCTTTAGTAATGACTGCCATTGCTCTAAACATGAATGACACAAAGAGGTTCATGTGGATGTAGTTCCTCGTACAGTGAAGCTTCCTGAAAATTAAAAATAAAGATCATCCATCGCATGCTTAGTCTGTGATGAATACGATTAACATGGTTTGTCTGTGATCAATATAATAGGTAGATCAGATAACCGGAGCCAGCAGTAGACTCCAGAAGAACAAATGACAGGTCAGGAGACAGGCGACAGTATTTCAGAACAAGATCATGCCAGAACAGGCTACTTGGAAATAACATCAAGGTATGAAGGTAAATCTAATCATATGGTCACAATTTGATAGGAAACATTGGGCCAAATGGCTTTAACAATCATACGTCATATGCATGTCTTCTGAAGTCAGCTTTTCTCAAGCAGCATCAACATCACGTATTTAACATTAAACAGAGTTGGGCCCAGGACAGAACCTTGTGGAACTCACCTCAACAGGCCCATAATGAGCACAGCCAGAGAGAGGGAAGCCAAGGACAATGAGTAGCCAACAATGGAAAGAATCCTCAGCACCGAATGGCGAAATATCTCATCTTCCTGTGTTATGAAACAAGTAAGCTATACTGCAAGCTTATATATGGAAGAAACCTTAATTTGTGCTGAAGCAAAATTTACCTCATTTTTGAAAAAGTCAGAGTCTTCACATTCTGACTCATCTCGCCACGCCAAACTGGAATTTTCTTCAGTTTTCCAGGTCCCATTGATTGTGCAAATCCTATATGCATTTCCTGAGGAACCTGAAGAAGGGGTGTGGAATTACACACAAAGCAGAATTTATTCATTAGGCACCTTTCCAGAAGTACTTTTTAAAGTCTGTTTTAAGACAGTAACTTGATATTCTTAGACACAGACAATGATTCCAATTGTAACTTATCAGTACTTGTTGCCCTTTTTAACTGAGTGAAATAGAATCATGATATCAATGAATCACTGTCAGGCTCTGAGGTCATTGCCTAGTCACATGATTTGTTTTGACCTATGAAAATCTTATGCAGAGCAGTCATGAGTCACTCCGTTGTGATGGCAGTGTTCTCCAGTGACCACATGGACAGGGCATGAAAACAAACGTAACAAACACACTGTGGCAGAAATGATCTTGAGCTTTCTGATGAGTATTTTTATGTGAAAGAGCAGATAGGGTGGTGTACCTTCTTTGATCCATGGTAAATATGGAGGGCAGGGTACTGCTACGATCCCAGGAGATGAATGTGGCCAACAGATAAAAGCGTCCCATGTCCCATTGCAGTATATTCCTTAAAAAAGAGTTTACAGTGGATAACTTACATAATTGATTGTTGGATTAAAAGTATGGACTTTGGTTGCTTTTGCTCACCAGTTACAGTATGGAGGGTGGCTGCCAGGGTTCTTGTACAGTTTTCTTGATATTCAGCACGTTTATATATCAAATCTTCGAGTATGGAACCAGAGACCTTCAAAAAGTACAGTTCAAACACAAAAACAATTTACTTTATCTTCAAAAATGACATGCATTTTCTTCCATATCAGCCAAAATACTGTACATCGTCACATTCTGACACAGTAATTCAATTTATCAAAAAAACAACTGGTTTACAGCTACACTTATTTAACTATGTCTGATCACAAGATGGCAGTGTTTAAAGATTTTTGCTTCAAGAGAGCTTGCATATGCATTCTAACTCATCCATTGAAGTAATATGCAAAGACATTTGCAATTAATATCCATTACTTATTAACAATTACTCACAATAATAATGAGTTCTGAGTATGTATCAAAACAGATATATCTAATCACTGTGTATGAGCATGAAACAAGCTGTTATTGTAAAGTTTAAACTCATTTTTCTCTGGATTTTATGTCTTGTTAAATATCATCACACTGGTAATGATATATATAAAAATAGGTCTTTATGAGTAAGATCACAGAATCATGTTTGTTGTCAAAGGTGTTTGAGAAAGTGTGTGCAGTTAAGTAGCTGAACCTAACATTTGCTGCCTGCTCCCAGCCTAGCAACCGTTTGCTCACACTGTAGCCATTCACCAAATATTTGCCAGACCGCGTCTATGAAAAATGTAAAATTATACAACTGAGCAGGGAAGACCTGGGGTTCGTCCACAAAAGGGCACGTCTGCAGATGTCTGCAGTGTTTTTGTTTCCTCACAGTGCTGAGATAGATTCACCTTACTGTGAAAAAGACATGATTTTCTAAACTTTGCTCAGCTTTTCACTTCAATGTACATTTTAGAAGATTCTTTGATTTGATAACAAACTTTTATGAGGATGTTTTAATGAATGCCACAACTTGTAAAAGTATATTAGTTCTGCAGTATGTGTTTTACATAAATCAAACAAGATTAACATGGATATTTCCATGTGAGACTGTTTTTTTTTTTTTGCATCTTAAAATGATTAATGTATGTGAATAATGACTTGAGCGTAAAATCTGAATTATACCTGCACTCAACCCTTCGCAAAGAGAATGAACATGCAAAGCCTGACACTTTTATAGGATACCACGCTTAGAGTGTTTTTCATTTTATATTTTCTCAAAAAAGAAAACACAGGACCTCACGTAGAAGGTTACCCCAGGGCCCCTGACCAGGCATACTGTGGAAAAGCTTATAGAATACCATGACTGTCACATTGAATTAAAAAAAAACACCAGCTATGCTGTACATTAAACATGGTAAGACAAAAGAACCAACAGAAACAAAATATACCTTGATACATCAAGTTAAGAACATTTTTGTCTTAAGAACATGACCATTTCACAGAAATAAAATTTGGTTACAACAGTAATGATATGCTGATGATACATTCTAGATGTTCTAGAGGAACATTCTGAAGCTGAGGTTCTGCATGGTGTTGAGTGTGTCGAGGGTATTTTCACTTACCCCTGGGATAGAGAGCAGCAGAAGGAGAGCGGAGAGCAACATGGTGCCCCAGCCTGCCAGCCTGCTCACAGGCTGAGGAGACGAAACAGTGGACATGGGTCACCGCTCACCTCCCTACTAGGCTAACAGCGCACCATGACTGACCACTACATCCCTGAAGCCTCCAACATGCCCTCAGCCTTTCCTGAAGGAAGCTCCTGAGTAGGTCACTCCAAACTTGCTGTCGGTTGTACGCCAACTTATCCCGACTTGACCTGGATATCCTTGATGTCAATATTCTCCAGTAGAAGTTTGGTTGGTGAGTTATGTTCGGAAGTCTTTGAAGTTCTGTGGACGGATGTTCATGTACTCCTGGCTCTTCAGCCACCCAGTCTCCAAATGCGAATGTCTGTGTTTCTTTACTCACTGACTGCTCCCCTCTTGGCCCTCCCCAACCAATCAAGATAAGGCAACCTTCGACGGGTAACTTTGCTGGGGAAGTGCCCTGACAAAAAAGAGCAAACCTGCATCGTAAAACTCAATCACCAACCCAAAGCCCACACATCAAATCTGAATCGTATTTGCGGAGGGGGGTTTTTTGACTGTAATGTGGCACTCAGATGTTATGAGTGCTGTACCTCTGAATCATAACAGCCAATACCGAGTACAGGGTCTGTGCTTCATCCTTAGTGAGATAAATAAATTTCAGTCTAAACAGTAACCTCACATTGGACACTTGGTAATGCAATCTTAACTTGACAGATCATCATTCGTTCAAGCGCAGCCAAGAAAATACTTCTCATCTTTTCCACATTCCCAGACAGTTTTTCTATTTATATATAGACATTGCGCTACTGAATGAGGAACTATTTTGGCCAGCGTAGTTTAGACTTCACAGCTGGATGCACTAATTATGCTAAATTGATATTGCTCACAGAAGTGGTTTGCAGGTAATGAGAGTGACCTATGCTCTGTATACTTAGGCTTTTGTTCAAAATGACCCTACTCTGAGGCTTGTATTAGATTCCACTTTATTACTGTCCACAACATCAGCCATAGATTTAACCTGGTGACAGTAACAGTATATGGTAGTGAGCTCTCTGTAAATGTACACTGGGCTCCACTCAGGGTCACATTAGCATGATTGCATTAGCATCAAAGCAGGCCATTTCCCCCGATAAAACAAATAAAAAACCCAGACGCCTCTTCTCTGCATCACTGGAGACAACTGTCTTTTAGTCTAGAGCACAGTGTTTTGGAGACGAGCTTACACTGCATCTCTCTGTGCACCAGCTTCATCATAAGAATAACAGCAAAATGCATTCATACATTATACTTAATCATTTTGACTAATTAGCGTCGCAGTGCATTACCACCTAATTGTTTTTTTGCCAACTGTTAGAAAACTCAATTTGGGCAGACATGAGGCATTGTACTAATGGAACAAATGGAAAAGTGATTAGCTTGTGTAACTGTACAGTAATTTGTCATGAGAAACCTTTCATCTCAGGATGTGTTACTCTTTTTTTGGTGAGTCAATTTAATCTTAATTCAGTGAGAGCTGCGCAAACATAAAAGTATCAACATGTAACCTCCCTCACCTCTACCAGGTGGTGCATTCCCACTCTTTATGGTTTTATTCGGCTTCTGGGAACGGACTAAAGAACATGCGGTACAAGAGGGACCACAGTCTACCAACTTTGTTATACTGGACCAGAAGAATAGCCATATTCCTTTACAGGATATGATATTCTAATTCTTAACAGAAACAAGCCAAAAAGAGATTTAAATTAAGATTTTTTAATTTTGTTCTTAGTTGTGGTTTATATTGTTGTTTGTCTTCTTTTTCATACCTTTTAAGCTTTTCCTCATTTACAAACTTTAGGTTAGGTATTAAGAAAAGGAATATAGCCTGAGGAATGTATAATATAGACCTATATAGCCTGACTGAATAACCTCAGTTAAGTTTTCTGATCAGTCCAGGTCTTTCAGCTGATTTTAAATCAGACATGGCCATCACCTGTTAGTCTGCAGTCCTAATCCTTAAAGACTGATATATGTATAGCAGTGACAAGTCACTGTGATTAGTAATGAATCATCTGCTGAAATAATCATGTTTTTATTCAGATGGTGATTAAGTCTCTAGAAAGGGGAAATATGACAATGCATCCATTTCTGTAATCCAATTCAAGGCCTTTTTGGTAATGATTTTGTAAGTGCCAGTTTAACTCTGTCTTTTAATGGTCAGAGACAAAGATGCTCACATTTTAAGGAATGGTCATGCTGTATATATGATAGACATTAAGCATTAGAAAATAATAAGCAATGAAAAAAAGCTTCATATTAAATGTGTAGCTGCTCACGCCACCATTGTCTTTAGGAATTTAGTATTTCTCAGTCATACATTAAGGGATCAACATCCTCTCTTTTGATTTGTGTGCATACTAGAGATGTAAACAAAATGGACACTGCACTTGCAATATCGCTGACTGTCAGAAGACTGAAAGAGACTTAAGAAATTTCCCATGATCTCTGTCTTGGGGTCAAGATGTGTAGCGGATACACAAAGCAGAACAGAAAAAAAAAAACAAATGGGGAGGACCATAAATCTACACGGAAACCAGAGTCTCTTCATCAAAACCTGCAATCCATTTGTCCATTACGATTACCATGTGGCAGAAAATGCATGTATGGAATGCATTCTAATGCCCCGAAATAGGCCTAATAATGCTGCAGTTCCAAAGATGGTAGCCTGTGTCACAGAGCCTGCAACAGCAGAAAATAACAGATCTTCATCAAAACCTGTGGGGTTTTCTTACAACAGCGACAACAAAGCAGCATTTGATTGGTGTCTTATTGTGTACAGTAAGAGTTTTTAATTTCCCCTGCCTCTATGATTTTGAAAATGGCACACATCCTTATCATCACTGTCATAACCAGACCTCTCTGAAATGGTAACTTTATAAGAGAAATGTTGTTCGTTTCAATGTACAAACTTCAATTCCTTAAAGAATTGAGACAGTATATAAATGCTAATAAAACAGTGAGCAGTGAATAGTAAATTCTGTTTTCACTGCATTACATTAAAAACAGTACAAAATCATGATATTTAATGTTCTACCATATGAACTTGCTAAACTTTTCTAAATTTCTCCAAATTTAGTGACTGCAAAAAAGTTGGGACAGGAGCATGTTCTCCATTGTGTTAACAGCTAGGGGGATCTGAAGACACCGACCAATCCAGTGTTGAAAGTGGAAATTTTTGCCATTCTTCTACCATAAATCTTAAGCCGTGCAACCGTATGGGCTCTCATTGCCTTATTTTAAGCTTCATAATGTGCCCCAAGTTTTCAGTGGGAGACAGGTCTGGACTGCATACAGGCCAGTCTAGCACCCGCTTTCTCCGATTAAACAGCCATTCTAATACATGCATAATGTGGCCTGGGATTGTCATGCTGAAATAAACATGGACGTCTCTGAAAAAGACGTCATCTAGAAGGCAGCGTATGTTCCCTCAAAATCTGTACATATCTTTTAGCATTAATGGTGCTTTCACAAACGTGCAAGTTACCCATCCCATGGGCACTGATACACCCCCATACCATGACAGACCTCACTTTTGAATTTTACACTGGTAACAGTCTGGATGGTCTTTCTCTTCTTTAGCTCGGAGAGCATGATGACCATTCCATAAACATTCTGAAAGGTTGCCTTATCAGAGTACAGTCTTAACTTGCATTTATGGATGCAGCAACAAACAGGATTTAATGACAATAGTTTGTCAAAGTATTCCTGAGCCCTTGTGGTGATATCTATCACAGAAGCATGCAGTGCCATCTGAGGAATCAAGGTCGCAAGCATTCGCTTGTGGTTTTCAATCTTGCCCTTTACACCTAGATTTTTTTTTCCAAATTCCCTAATTCTTTGATCATATTATACTATTGGATTATTTACTGACACATTTTTTGGCAGAGGCGAGCCTTGGTCAAACTTTGCTCATAAAGGGCCGGGCCCTTCGTGGATGTGCCATACCCAAGCATTATTGCTTCACATGTTTAAGATGTTTTTGAACATTTTGTAATGTTTCTAGTCTCACATTGCTCTGTCCCATCTTTTTTGGTACTTGTTGCAAGCATCAATTTTAGAATGACCATACATTTACAACGAACATAGAAGTTGCATTTAATATCTTGTCCTGTTTTCAGTTAAATACTAAGTCATAATTTCTAGTGATCCATTCATTATCAAATTATTGTACAATGTAAAAGGCAGCTGGCATTTACACATGGAGTGAAAAAATGGCATTACAACTTCCCTTAAGCTTTATAATAGTTTATAACAGTCTAAGTGACACGGTCTCCTGTTTAACCGAAAGCATATATTGGCACTCATATATTGCCACTCGTATGTTAATCCCTTATTTTCCAGTGTTTTGGAATGAATAAAACTTTCTTCTTTGATTAAATCAGAGCTAGTCTTAGGTTTGCTGTGATGTGTTTCAAAAACTTAATTAGTTTAAAGCAGTGCTTAAGCAGTGAGTTGCATTACTTAATGTGCAAAAGTGCCATTAATCATCTGTAAGAAAAAAAAATGCCTTGATGACAGAGGCATGTTCTACACTTATGTCAATGTATCTGCTAACAATGCATGGCTTCCCCATACAGTACAATCACACAACAAAAGTATGCCCGCATATACAGTCACTTTATTAATATGGAGTTTTCTGAAGATAGCAGTCATATATTATGCTTATGCTATGTGTACAAAAGCAATGTAAGTATTATTCCCATAGCACTGGGATATGTAGCCAACTAGTAACATTCAGTTTGTGTAATCTTGAACTTTAGTTCACTGATGTCCTGTAAAATTCCATGCCCTGGGGAGGAAATGCTTCAGAACATCCCATAAATACTATAAATCGTAAGAGCACAAGAGTGTTACATGTGGGCTGTACCTCTTTCCAAATTACCCACTAGTACTTCACCACCCCATGTTAAAAAATCAATGGTGTTTCACACGTTTGGTAAACACATGACTTTGTTTGGGGGGAATCTTCTCCGTCTTCTCCCAGCTTCATAATGTTTATGGCCAGCTGTAAATGGGTCAGAGTGTGTTTGGTAATTCAGACAGGTGGTATCTGGGAAATTTAAACAGGCTGCCTGTTGAATACATAAATTGTTTGGTTTGCTCAGCCATTAGAATGCTGTATGTGTGTTTTGCTTGCAACTTTGAACTGTTTTTTATCCTTATTTTGTTAATTGTTGAACCTATAAAACGAGAGCAGTTACACTCCTTACCCAGTGCAAACAGGGAAAACATTTGCACACTAACAATAATGTACTGTTTTCTGTTAAACTGTTGGCAAATGTTGATCAATAATAGATGAAGCCAGTTCCACCGTAGGACTGTTTTATAGGGGGGTTTGCCACCACAACCATGAACTACTGGCAAGGGAACATCTTCAAGCAGTAGAACATAAAATAGCTGACAAATGCCTGGAAGCCTCGTCTGCAACAATAACATTAGACCTCAGGATTCAGTTTGTAAAGCAACAATTTAATATTTGGTAATTCTTTAAATGTTATTGTGACCTGAGGTGATATATTTCCTCTCAGTAATGTTTTTTGTTCTAATATTTCCTCTCAGTTTAGTCGTAGGCAGTCCCATTGC